CCAGTTCCCCCCCTTCCCCCACCCCGCCAGTCCCTTACCTCCTTACACAGGACAGTCTTCTCACTACACTTGCAGAGCACTCTTCTAACACTGTCTGGATCTTCCTCTCCCTAGGTCAACCCTTCCTCAAATGTCCACCTACCTCAAAATCAGATCCAAGTACCTACACCTGATGTTTTAAGTTGTTGATAATCAGGCCTGAGACAAAACTCTCCAAACCCAGGAAACACAACTCCCTCTTGCAAACGAATTAAACACACACACACACACACACACACACACACTGAATTATTGAACAATGCTGTGCCTTTTTATGGGCCATCCCTCCGTCCACCTGGAACACAGCAAACTTCTTTTCAAACACTAAGACTAATATAAAGACCAGGAGGTCTTCAACTCTCATTCCACTCAATTATTTGACTAAGAAACCCGCATAAATCATGACGAATGTGGATTGTTACTTTTTCCAGGACTTAAATTAATGCTGCCATTGTATTACTGCTTGTTATTAATAAAACCCTTCTATACTCCATTCTCTGCAATTTGGCAGAACTGTAGCTGAATTACCCATTGTCAAAATACTTTAGTGTCTTGTGTTCCTCTGAGCCCCAGAGTTGAGGAAGTAGTCGTGTGCTTCCTCCCAGAATCTCTAGTGCCGGCCACCATGACTGCACCTGGTGAGAACTCCAGGCTGATTGTCTGGATGGTGGAAGGAAGGAAGGAAAATTACGTTTTTGGAGGTTCAGAAGGGGAAGCGACTTGCTCCTGTCCATCCAGCCTCTGTCAAAGGCAGCCTCAGGATTGGAACTCAGAGCTGGTCTGAAAGGTTTCCAGACAGTCAGCTGTGTCCTCAGCCCCAACATCTAGGGAGAGCAGAGCCAGGCCACAGAGAGGGGCTGTTCCCTTCTTGTAAGGCTGCTTATGAGGAAGCCACATGACACATAACACAGGCCCTAGGACTCGGCACACCCAGTAACGGTCCCTCCCAGGCTCTGTGGTCAGTGTATTACACCTGCAGCCCCGGGAGCCATGCCGGGCAGCGCCACAGCCCTGGTCCTCACTGTCCTTCTGAGTCTTGGTAAGCTTTGGGAGAAAGGGGGGGATGAGGTCCTTGTCCCCACATACAAGGCCTGGACACAGGGAGACCCCAGGGCCTCAAGATTCTCATGGGGAAGCTGAGGACTGAGGGGAGAGAAGTAATGTTCTCAGGCCCAGTTTGATCCCAACACTGAGGGGCCCAGACCCCCATGACGCGTCTGTGTGGGTGGAAGGACAAACTTCTCACGGGGACCTCTCTCCCAGGGCTGTTCCAGAGGCAGCAGATCCTGGCCCAGCCAGGTGAGTCCTCCACAGTCCTCCCAGCACTGACCTCTGGGCAGCTTGGGGAGCACCCAGGGCCTGGGCTGGTGGTAGCCATGCTGGGAGGGGCTAGGGAATGAGGGCTGAGGACACCAAGGGGAAAGGAACCCCTTGAGACTCCAACTCTGATTTCTTTCCAGGAACCCTCTCCAAACCCTCCATCTGGGCTGACCCAGACCCCATGATCACCAGGAGATGTCCTGTGACCATCCGGTGTCAGGGGTCTCCGCAGGGTGATAGATACCATCTATTGAAAGATGGATATTATTTCTGGAATATGACCCTACTGAACTCCAGAGAGAGAGGGGCCTCCTACACCATCCAGTCCATGAACAGTGACCATGCAGGGCAGTACCAGTGTCGTTATAACAGCTCCAATGGCTGGTCCCCGCTCAGTGAGCCCCTGCACCTCACCATGACAGGTAAAAGGAAGGGATCAGAGCACCCCCTCCACTCTGAGCTCCTCCTACAGGTAGAAAAGATGAAATGTGCCCTAAGGGGAGGGACTCATACCTCACAGACCGCCCCTGGGGTAATGTGGGGTGACTGTGTCCCCCTTTAACTCAGCTCCCCCCTCTCTCTCAGGAATATACTCACCACCCCCACTCTCAGCTCATCCAGGCTCTGTGGTGTCTTCAGGAGGGAAGGTGACCCTCATCTGTAGCTCAGTCTACTCCTTCCAGACTTTCTATCTGCTGAAGGAAGGAAGAGTCCCCGTGGTCCAGCACATGAAATCTCAGTACTCCATGGGGAAGTTTGAGGCCCATTTTCTTGTGGACCCCGTGAACCCCTCCCGTGGGGGCACCTACAAGTGCTATGGTTCTTATGACTCTAACCCCCATGTGTGGTCAAAGGCCAGCAACCCAGTGGATCTCCTGGTCACAGGTGAGGGAGCCCCTGCCCGGCCCCATCACTTTACCAGCATCAATGACTGACCTAAGCCATGTGCCTAGGGGAGCCCTGTGGGTGAGGGAGAGGTTGGGGATGGTGCCCTCCTGGGGCAGAATCACAGAGGGGAGTGGGACAGACCATGTGGCCTCACTGCAGCTCCCCATTTCAAAGCCATGGTCACTAGTTAGTATGAGTCCTGTGCACAGTGGGGAGTGCGGTCCTTCAATGCTACCTTCTCCTCCTCTCCAGGGGTGCACACGAAGCCCTCCCTCTCAGCACACCCAGGCGCCCTGGTGCTGCTTGGAGCCAGCCTGACCCTGCAGTGTGGCTCAGAGGCCGGATTTGACAGGTTTGCTCTGACCAAAGATGAGCAGCTCTCAGGTCCCAGGAATCTTGACGCTCAGCACAGTTCCAACTTCACCTTGAGCCCTGTGCAGGACACCCACAGGGGCCAATATAGGTGTTACGGTGGATACAATCTCTCTTATGAGTGGTCAGCCCCCAGTGACCGCCTGGACATCCTGGTGGCAGGTTGGAGGCCCTGCCCAGCTTTACATCTTCACATGGTCTCCTCTGTGTGGGTCCAGGGTTTCCCCTGGTGGAGATGGGGTCAGGGACATAGGGTACCCCAGTAGAGCTGAGATGGCGGTTTTGGTCCAGGAAGAGGGAGTAAGAAAAGGAGAGTGGGAGACATGGGGTTAGAGAGGACAACAGAGAGACAGAGGTGTGAAACAGGGCTCCCAACAGAGCACCCCTGAAGAGGAGACAGTGGTCAACTCAAGGGAGGTGGGGCCGGCTGGTTCCCTGAACACCCTGATCTCCTTCTCTCACAGGAGCCTATGAGAAACCCTCCCTCTCAGCCCATCTGGGGCCCTCGGTGACTTCGGGGGAGAACGTGGCCCTGCAGTGTCTCTCAGCCGGGTCGCTTAACACATTCCATCTGTTCAAGGAGGGCTTCCTTGCCCCTCTACAGCACCTTTATTTGCTGGGCATTCCTGGGCCCATTCAGGCCACCTTCATCCTGGGACCTGTGACGTCAGCCCATGGGGGCAGCTACAGGTGCTACACTTCACACAGCAACTCCCCCTACCTGTTATCACAGCCCAGTGACCCCCTGGAGCTGGTGGTCTCAGGTAAGGAAACCCTGACCCTGTCCCCTCTGGATCCTAATAGTTCAGGATCCTTTCCCTAGGGAGAATCTGGCCTGGGGTGAAAGGGAGGGGAGCTCTGAAGGAGGGTCCTCCAGAGGAACCAACCCCTCAGAGGGATGGATAAAGACAGGATAACTCCCACTCCAACCTCATCCTTCACCCCCATCCCTGAGGCCCAGCTGTGTTCATGGTGAGTGAGGGTCTGGATGTGAGCAAAGGTCACCAAGAGGAAAGGACAGAAAACTCCAGTTCTCATCCTTCCTGAATCTCCAATCCCTGTAACCACTCATCCAAAATCCAAGCCAAGAGCTGGTGAGTAAAAGAGACCACCATGATCCCCAGCAGACCACACATTGGCCTCTCTGCTGACAGATCCTTTCCTTCAGACTCTCCCACACAACTTGTGACCCTGGAGGCTAGGTGATGGCAAGAGAGCTGAATGTGGTAATGCCAGGCTCCCAGGAACACTGGACTGGGGCCAGATGAGGAGTGAGGTGGGCACAACAGAGGGTGCCGTGGGGTCGAGCCAAAAGGAGGAACAGTGGGCTGAAGTCATTCATCCAGTCCTGCTTCCCAGCAGGATCAGAGAATCAGCTCCAAATACCCACCTGTGGAATCAGACCCACCAAGCAGTAAGTGAGGGTCTCTCTTTTGTGAGGGAAAAATGGAGGAGCAGAGCTCACTGTTGGCTTAACTACTTCTTGAAATGGTGACCTTAAAAGAGGCCCTTACTATTTCTCCCAGATTCATGTCACGCCGTGTAAAAGGGAAGCAGCCCAGCGAACACCATGTGGGGGAGGGATGAGGCAAGGACACTGGCATCTGTGGTCTCCACAGACTGAGGGGTGCCCCGACTGCCTGGGAGCAGCTGTGGCATTGGAGAAACGGGACTTAGAAGTTCCACCACCCATGTCAAGTTCAAATCCCAGTCCTGCCACCTCCAGCTGAGTCTCAGTGTCACTGTCTGTAGACCATCTCCCATCATCTCCCTCAGGGCTGCTGTGGGATGTAGGGGAATCCCCATACTGAGAGCCCAGGGTCTCACCTGACACAGTGCTCAGTAAGAGGAGAGCCCACCCTTCGCCCTCCTCCACACACACTGACCATGTCCAGAGAAGCCCGATGGGAGAGTTTCAGGGAACAGAGCCAGGATCAGCTGCAAGTGATTGGGGACTAGGATTTGGTGTGTCGGTTTCTCCTCTGGTGTCCCTCCACTGGAGGAGAGTAAGGGAAGGGGACGGTATAAATAACACAAAAGAAGATCCAGAGATTTCCCAGTTCCAACCTTGCCACTTCATGTGGGGGTGACCTGGGTCACATGATTTACCTCTCTGAACCTCAGTTTCCCCATTTGTAATACATGCGGGGTGGGACCACAATCCCACATGGCAGAGTTGTTGTGAGGATCAGAGGTGATGAACACAAAGGCATCAGTATCTGTGATATGAAGTGTTGTTAGGTGCCATCAAGGCGGTATCGACTTATAGTGGCCTTGTGCACAGCAGAATGAAACACTGCCCGATCCTGGACCAACCTCACTACTGTTGCCATGCTTGAGTCCATCGATGCGGCCACTTGGCTAATCCATCTAGTTGGGGGTCTTCCTCTTTTTCTCTGAACCTCCACCTTACCAAACATGATATCCTTCTCCAGCGACTGGTACCTCCTGACAATATGTCCAAATTATGTGAGACGAAGTTTGGTCCTCTTGGCCTCCAAGGAGCATTCTGGCTGCATTTCTTCCAAAACAGATCTATTGGTTCTTTGGCAACCCATGACACTTTCAGTATTCTCCTTCAACACCATAACTCAAAAGCATCAATTCTTCTACGGTCTTCCTTATTTAATGTCCAACTTTCACATGCATATGAGGTTATTGAAAATACCCTGTCATAAGTCAGGTGCACCTTAGTCCTCAAGCTGACATCTTTGCTCTTCAACACTTTAAAAAAGATCTTGTGCAGTAGATTTGCCTAATGCAATACATCGTTTGATTTCTTGACTGCTGCTTCTGTGAGTGTTGATAGTTGATCCAAGAAAAATGAAGTTCTTGACAACTTCAATCTTTTCTCCATTGATAAGAATGTTGTTTACTGGTCCAGTGGTGAGAATTTTTGTTTTCTTGACATTGAGATGTACCGTACTGAAGGCTGTGTTCTTTGATCTTCAGTAAATGTTTTAAGTCCTCTTCACTTTCAGCAAGCAAGGTCGTATCATCTGCATATTGCAGGTTGTTAATGAGTCTTCCTCCAATCCTGATGCCACGTTTTTCTTCATATAACCCAGCTTCTCAGATTATTTGCTCAGCAT